CAGCTGCCTGCACCCCTTAACCCTTGCAGGGAGGGTCCCATCGTGTGCCAGTCCCGAGTACCAGCACCACCGCCAGCTCGACCCGTGGGCACGCTCCTGCCTGTACCGGCAGCATGGGCAGTGCAGGCAGGATGCGGTGCAGGCAGGAGGGAGCACCCACCCCAGCACAGCCTGGCTGGGGGGGCAGCGGGTGGAGGACCAGGCAGGGCGTACAGGCAAGACGCGATACAGGCAGGATGTGGTGCAGGCAGGGTGCAGCGCAGGGAAGGTGCAGTGCAGGCAGGATGTGATGAAGGCACAGGCAGGATGCCATGCAGAGTGCATCTGCAATGCAGGCAGGCAGAGAGCAGGCAGGGTGCGATGCAGGCAGGGAGCAGGCACACAGTGTTAACAGCAGTAAAGGCAAGGTGCGGGCAGGGTTAACAGTGGGCAGGGAGCAGTAAGGCAGGGCTAATAGCAGGCAGGGTGCGATGCAGGCAGGGAGCAGGCACGCAGTGTTAACAGCAGTAAAGGCAAGGTGCAGGCAGGGTTAACAGTGGGCAGGGAGCAGTAAGGCAGGGTTCATAGCAGGCAGGGTGCGATGCAGGCAGGATGCGATGCAGGCAGGGTTAATAGCAGGCAGGGTTAACAGCAGGCAGGGAGCAGTAAGGCAGGGTTAATAGCAGGCAGGATGCGATGCAGGCAGGGTTATCAGCAGGCAGGGTTAACAGCAGGCAGGGTTAACAGCAGCACAGACAGGGTTAACAGGGAGCGTTCCCAGCCCTGCCCCGAGGGCAGCCCCAGCCCCAGATGCCGTGGGAAGTGGAAGTAGGGCCGGGAAGGAGAGGGGTGGGGGCAGAACCACACTACATCACCACCTGATGGTCCACAGGGGCCCGGTACTGGACCCCATGGAGCCGCATCCAGCCCCATGGCCCCGGGGCAGGACCCCCCCCACCCAGTCCCACGCAGCCCCATGGCTCTGGTAGACTGTGACACACAGCACAGGGTCCGTAGAGTGGCACAGAACACACGGCACGCCGTGGGGCACAGGATGCGTGGCACATGGTCACACATCGCCGGCACACGGTTTGTGGGGCACACGGCACAGTACATCACACATGGCTGGCACACGGCACAGTACATCACACATGGCTGGCACATGGCACAGTACATAACACATGGCTGGCACACGGCACAGTACATCACACATGGCCGGCACACGGTTTGTGTGGCACACAGCACAGTACATAACACATGGCTGGCACATGGCACAGTACATCACACATGGCTGGCACACGGCACAGTACATCACACATGGCCGGCACACGGCACAGTACATAACACATGACCAGCACACGGCACAGTACATCACACATGCCTGGCACACGTCCCATGTCAGCTGCCACGATGGCCCTGCCACAGGCACTGCTGCAGGTCCCAGTCCGGCACCTGGCACACGCGCCCCAGCTCACGTCCCCATCCCCAGCACCCAGGACACAGCCCATGGCCCCAGCCCTTTATTGACCCCGTGCTCCCGCCACGGCCCGGCCCGTGCCATGCAGCGCGTGGCACACGTCCCCGTGCCCGCGTCAGGCGGTGCCGTGGCTCTCGCGCAGGCGCTGCCGCAGCTCCCGGTCCAGCGCGTGGTGCAGCGCGCGGCAGCCGGCGGTGGCCGCATCCAGCACCGGCTCCAGGCGCTCGCGGGGCAGGCGGGCGCTGAGCTGCAGCAGCGCCAGGAGCCCCGAGGCCGGCAGCAGCGCCAGCGCCAGCCCTGGCCCCGCCGCCGCCTCCTCGGCCCCGCTGGGGTCTGCCAGCGCCGTGTCCTCGGCCAGCGCGGCCGAGCTGGCGCACACCATGTCCCGCAGCGGGATCCCCGCGTCCAGCACCGCCAGCGCTGCCGCCGTGGTGCCGGCACAGCAGTGCCCTCCGTCTGCCTGCAGCACCTGTGGGGACACGGGGATGTCAGCGTGGGGATGTGGTACAGGGACATGGGACAGGGACAGGGATACAGGGGCGGGGATACAGGGACATGGCACAGGGACATGGCACAGGGACACAGAACATGGTACAGGGACACAGAACATGGTACAGGGACATGGTACAGGGACATAGAACATGGATACAGGGACAGGGACACAGGGACATGGCACAGGGACACAGAACATGGATACAGGGACACTGAACTTGGATACAGGGACACAGAACATGGGTACAGGGATACAGGGACACAGAACATGGATACAGGCACACAGAACATGGGTACAGGGACATGGCATAGGGACACAGAACATGGGGACAGGGATACAGGGACACAGAACTTGGATACAGGGACAGGGACACAGGGACATGGCATAGGGATACAGAACATGGGTACAGGGATACAGGGACATGGTACAGGGACACAGAACATGGATACAGGCACACAGAACATGGGTACAGGGACATGGCATAGGGACACAGAACATGGGGACAGGGATACAGGAACACAGAACTTGGATACAGGGACAGGGATACAGGGACACAGAACATGGGTACAGGGATACAGGGACACAGAACATGGATACAGGCACACAGAACATGGGTACAGGGACATGGCATAGGGACACAGAACATGGGGACAGGGATACAGGGACACAGAACCTGGATACAGGGACAGGGACACAGGGACATGGCATAGGGATACAGAACATGGGTACAGGGATACAGGGTCAGGGATACAGGGACATGGTACAGGGACACAGAACATGGATACAGGCACATAGAACATGGGTACAGGGACATGGCATAGGGACACAGAACATGGGGACAGGGATACAGGGACACAGAACTTGGATACAGGGACAGGGACACAGGGACATGGCATAGGGATACAGAACATGGGTACAGGGATACAGGGACATGGTACAGGGACACAGAACATGGATACAGGCACACAGAACATGGGTACAGGGACATGGCATAGGGACACAGAACATGGGGACACGGATACAGGGACACAGAACTTGGATACAAGGACAGGGATATAGGGACACAGAACATGGGTACAGGGACAGGGATACAGGGACATAGCACAGGGACACAGAACATGGGTACAGGGACATGGCACAGGGACACAGAACATGGGTACAGGGATACAGGGACACAGGGACAGCGATACAGGAACATGGCACAAGGACACAGAACATGGGTACAGGGACATGCCATGGTGCCTGCACAGCAGTGCCCCCAGCCGCCTGCAGCACCCGCAGGCACGGGGACATCAGCACAGGGACACAGCACACATGCGGCACACGGCACATAGCTTGGACCACGGCCCGTGGTGTGACACATGGACACAACAAGGACATGGAACATGGCACAAGGACACAGCACACGGCACAGGGACATGGAACCGGCATGCGGTGCAGGGACACAGCACACGTGACACATGGCACACGTGACACATGATGCGTGGCACGGCCTGGAGCACACAGTGTGGCACCCAGCACAGTGCCATCAGCCTCACCATCAGCGCCGTGCCCCCCAGTGTTCCCCCCCAGTTCTCCCATGACCCTGCCACGGTCCCTCCCATCTCCCCTTATCATCCCCCCCGTTTCCCTCCCCTATGTCCCAATGTCCCCTGCCATGTACCCCCCAACGTCCCCCCACTATTCTCCCCAATGCTCCAAACAATATCCTGACAATGTCATGCCCCTATGTCCCCCCAATATCCCTATGTCCTTCCCCACAGCTCCCCCATGTCCCTCACAGATGTCCCTCAATATCCCTCTCTATGGCCCCCAATGGCCCCCATGTCCTCCCAGTGTCCAAGCTCCATTAACCCCCCACATCCCTCCCTATGCCCCTCCCATGTCCCCCCATGTCCCCCCATGTCCACCCCACATCTCCCCACGTCCCTCCCATGTCCCCCCACGTCCCCCCCGTGCCCCCCCGCGGTACCTGCACGTAGACGTCGATCTGGGAGCGCGGGAAGAGCTGCGTGAGGACGGCGGCCTCGAGGCTCTGCTGCAGCTGCAGCGCCAGCTCCGCGCTGCGCCGGTCCCCGTGCGGCCGCCGCCGCTCGGCCGAGCTGAAAGCGGCCAGGCTGAACCGGCAGTTGAGCACCGCGCGCTCGGGCAGCGCCTTCCCGCGGGGGCCGCGCACCTGAGACCGGCACCGGGGCAGGCGTCAGCGGGGGAGCACGGAAGGGACCGGGAGGGAAGGGGGACACGGGGATGGGGGGCACGGACAGGAAGGGGGATGCGCAGGAGGCAGAGGCACCGAGGAAGGAGCGAGGGGAACCGGAGGTACCGGGGATAAACGGGGCGAGGGGGGACCCGGCGGAACGGGGCGGGGGAACAGGACAGGAGGGAGCGGAGGGGCCCGGAGAAGACGGGGAAGACCAGGGGGGGTCCTGGGGAAGGAGCAGGGTCAATGGGGGCCGCTGGGAGCAAAGGGACCCGGGGAGCCGGGGCCCCGGGAGATGCGGAGGGGAGCGGGGGAGGACCCGCGGCCGCGCTGCCCGTGCCCGCTGACCTCGTGCGGGCCGTAGACCACGGCCAGGGCCTTGGTGTTGCCCTGCTCGATGTAGGCGGAGCCGTCGGCCTGCGCGAACAGCCCGAGCCGGGCCCGCACCTTCCGGATCTCCCCGGGCCGGCGCCCGTCGGCGCGGAACCCCTCATCCGACAGCAGCTCCGCCGCCGCCATCGCGCCGCGCGCTTCCGGCCGGGGCGCGCCCCTTCCGCGACAGGCCACGCCCCCCTCCGGGGAGGCCACGCCCCCTCGGCTGCGGCCCCGGGTGAGGCCGCCTGACGAAGCCACGCCTCCATGAGAAACGTCACTCAGAGGCCACGCCCCCGCGCTGTTCGAGCCGCGCCCCCATAGGTGACATCACCCGTGAGGCCACGCCCCCAGAGCGGACGACCCCGTTAGGACACGCCCCCAGGCCAGGCGCCCCCCTCTGAGGCCACGCCCCTCGAGCAGACGCCCCCCTCTGAGGCCACGCCCCCCGTGGCCGGTGAACGGAGCCGGAGCCGGAGCCGAGCGGAGCCGAACCGAGCCGAACCGAGCCGAGCCGAGCCCCCGGTGCCCGGAGCCGTCCCCCATGGCTGCCGAGGGCCCCGTGCCCGGCCCCGCCGGGTTCCAGTTCGCCATCGACCGCGGCGGGACCTTCACGGACGTGTTCGCTCGCTGCCCCGGCGGCCGCGTCCGCGTCCTCAAGCTGCTCTCCGAGGACCCGGCCTACGCAGACGCGCCCACCGAGGGCATCCGCCGCGTCCTGGAGGAGGTGCGGCCCCGACGGCTCCGAGACGGCGCCGGGACCCCCGGGGCCCTTCTCTTGGGGCCCTTCCCTGCCACACTCCCGGGACCCCACCCCCCGGGACCCTTCCTCGGGACCCCTCCGGGACCCCTTTGGGAGCCCCCCCGGACACTCCGGGACCCCCCGGACCCCCGGCACCTCCCGGGACCCGCCAGTGGAGCACCCCCGGGATCCCCCCAGCACTTCCCCAGGAGCCCCCGATGCCCCCTGGCACCTCTTTGGGACCCCCCCCAGGACCCCTCATGACCTTCTTGGACCCCCCTCCCGGAATTCCCTTTGGGACGCTCCTGGGACAACCCGGATGCCCCCCAGGATCTCCCCCTACACCCTCCCCGCTGGGGCCCCCGGTGGTGCTGAGGGTCTGCAATGGTGCTGGGAGTCCCTGCGGGTCCATGGGATTTGGGGTCCCGGCGGCTCCATGTGGCTGAGGCTCCCCGGCGGCTCCGCGGTGCTGAGGTGCCGGTGCCGCAGGAGCTGGGGGTGCCCCTGCCCCGGGAGCAGCCGCTGGACGCGGCCGGTATCGAGTGGATCCGGATGGGGACCACGGTGGCCACCAACGCGCTGCTGGAGCGCCGGGGCGAGCGCGTGGCGCTGCTGGTGACCCGCGGCTTCCGCCACCTCCTGCACATCGGCACCCAGGCGCGGCCGCGCATCTTCGACCTGGTGAGCCCCCGCCGTGCCCCCGCGCTCCCCGGCACCGCCTGCAGCCCCACCGCCGTATCCCGTGACCCAGCCGTGGGGAAGCGCGTCCCCGTGTGACCCCAGCGCTGGCACGTCCCCGTGTGCCCACGGTGTGTCCTCTGCCCACTGCGGACTCCCTTGGTGCTGGTGCTGGGTGCTGCTGGCGCTGCTGCTGGTGCTGGGTGCTGCTGGCGCTGCTGCTGGTGCTGGGTGCTGCGGCGCTGATGCTGGTGCTGGGTGCTGCGGCGCTGATGCTGGTGCTGGGTGCTGCTGGCGCTGCTGCTGGGTGCTGCTGGCGCTGCTGCTGGTGCTGGGTGCTGCGGCGCTGATGCTGGTGCTGGGTGCTGCGGCGCTGATGCTGCTCGTGGCACCGAGTCCCCGTGTCCTATGAGCGCCGCTGGCTTCAAGCCAGCACTGGCCGGGACCCGGCTGCCCCCGGCACGTTCCTCGGCCGCGGTGGTCCCCGCTGCCACCCCGTGTCCCTGTCCCTGTCCCTCCCTCGGTCCCAGTGCCACCCCGTGTCCCTGTCCCTCCCTCGGTCCCGGTGCCACGCCGTGTCCCTGTCCCTCCCTCGGTCCCGGTGCCGCCGGTGCCACCCCGTGTCCCTGTCCCTGTCCCTCCCTCGGTCCCGGTGCCGCCGGTGCCACCCCGTGTCCCTGTCGCTCCCTCGGCCCCGGTGCCGCCGGTGCCACCCCGTGTCCCTGTCGCTCCCTCGGTCCCGGTGCCACGCCGTGTCCCTGTCCCTCCCTCGGTCCCGGTGCCGCCGGTGCCACCCCGTGTCCCTGTCGCTCCCTCGGCCCCGGTGCCGCCGGTGCCACCCCGTGTCCCTGTCGCTCCCTCGGTCCCGGTGCCACGCCGTGTCCCTGTCCCTCCCTCGGTCCCGGTGCCGCCGGTGCCACCCCGTGTCCCTGTCGCTCCCTCGGCCCCGGTGCCGCCGGTGCCACCCCGTGTCCCGCAGGCGGTGGCGGTGCCCGAGGTGCTGTACGAGGAGGTGATCGAGGTGGACGAGCGGCTCATCCCGCTCCAGCCGCGCTGCCGCCTCCCGGGCACAGAGTCGCTCCCGGTGCTCCAAGGTACGGGCAGGCCCCGGGGGGGGGCGGTCCCGGCGCGGGGCCCCCCCTCACCCGGTCCCTGCTGTTCCCAGGATCCATGGGGGTGTCGCTGGTGCTGCAGCGGCCGCTGGAGCTCTCGGCGCTGCGGCGGGAGCTGGAGGGGGTGCGGGACCGCGGCATCCGCAGCCTGGCCGTGCTGCTGCTGCACTCCTACGCGTGAGGCGGGGGAGCCCCAGGGGGGCTGGGGGGCCCAGTGGTGTTTGGGGGGGCTGGTGGGTTTGGGGGGATCCCTGGTGAGCTTTTAGGGCCCGGGGGGGGCGGGGCAGGAGGATTTTTGGGGGTCCCGTTGGGGTTTGGTGAGCTCCTGGTGCGGTTTGTGGGGCTCTGTTAGGTTCTGGGGGTTCCAGTGGGTACTGGTGGGGTTTGGGGTCCCCACTGGGGTTTTGGGGAGCCCTGGGATGGTTTGGGGTTCCCGGTTGTGCCTCTGGTGGGCATTGGGGTGGTTCTGGTTGGGTTCTGGGGGCTCCCGGTGAGGTTTTGGGGCTCCCATTGGGGTTCGGGAGGCTCTGGTGGGTTCTGGGGCGTCCCCGGTGCCCATCGCGGTCCCCGCAGGTGGCCGGGCCATGAGCAGCGAGTGGCGGCGCTGGCGCGGGAGCTGGGCTTCGAGCACGTGTCGCTGTCCTCGGCCGTGGCGCCCATGGTGCGCGCGGTGCCGCGCGGCTTCACCGCCTGCGCCGATGCCTACCTGAGCCCCTGCATCCAGCGGTACCTGCACGGCTTCCGCGCCGGCTTCCGGCACCGCCTGCAGGTGAGGGCACAGGGACCCCCCCGGGACTGCCCAGGACACCCCCGGACACCGCCCTGTGATACCCCCCTGGGACACCCAGCACTGCCCTAGGCACCCTGTAACACCCCTCCATGGGCACCCATCACCCTGTGACCTCCCCATGGGCGCCCATCACATCGGGACCCTGCCATGAGCACCCGTTACCCATCACACCTCCATAGACATCTATCCAGCTGGGACCTCCCCAGTGGCACCCATCCCACCATGGCCACCCCACTGGCACCCATCCCACCCTCCGTGGCACCCCTCACTCCCCATAAGCGTCCGTTACACTGCGACCCCCCATGGGCACATGTGCACTACGGACACCTATTACCCATCATACCTCCATGGGTACCCATCCAATTGGGACCCCCCTTCCCCTCATGACACCCTATGAGACCCCATCCCACCCTATGGGCACCCACGCCACCCATGCCCCCCTGCGCAGGGGGTGCCGGTGCTGTTCATGCGCTCGGACGGGGGCCTCACGCCGATGGAGAAGTTCTCCGGTGCCAGCTCCATCCTGTCGGGCCCGGCCGGCGGCGTTGTTGGCTACGCCATGACCACGTACGACCACGGTGACGGCACACCCGTCATAGGCTTTGACATGGGAGGTGAGCCCATGCACCGGCACCCGTGGGGGCCACCATGGGACAGGGTGGGCACAGAGCCCCGTGGGTGCTGCGCGGTGTCACCCGCAGCGGGGACGGTCACTGGTGCTGTCCCTCGGGCCTCGGTGTTGTTCAGTGCCTCCATTGAGGGGTGAGGGGATCGGGGCACCTGAGGTGGCACCAGGCTGGGTGGGAGCATCTCCAGAGGGATCCGTGGGGTGAGGCCATGGGATGAAGGTCAACAGGCAAAGTGCCGGGTCCTGCCCTCGGGCCACAGCAGCCCCAGGGAACACTGAATCCTTAGGGAAGAGTGGCCGGAAACTGCTCATGGAACAGGGCCTGGGGTGGCGGAGCTGAACGTGAGCAGGAGCCTGTGCCCACGGCAGCCACATCCCGGCTGGAGCAGCACCAGGGCGGCAGCGGGGCCAGGGCAGGGGTTGAGCCCCTGCACCGGGCACCGGGGAGGCTGCACCTCGGATCCTGTGCTCGGCTCCGGGCCCCTCACTGCAAGAGAGACCTTGAGGTGCTGGAGTGGGGCCGGGGAAGGGAATGGAGCTGGAGCAGGGCCTGGAGCACAGGGGTGATGGGGAAGGGCTGAGGGACCTGGGGGGTTCAGATGGAGATGTTGGCACCTGGGGACATGGGTTAGTGGTGGCCTCGGCAGTGCTGGGAACGGTTGGACTGGGTGAGCTTCAAGGTCTCTTCCAACCTGGCTGACCCCGTGCCTCCATGGTTCCCTGGCTCCATGGTTCCATGCTGCTCCCTCCGCAGGCACCTCCACCGACGTCAGCCGCTATGCCGGTGAGTACGAGCACGTCTTCGAGGCCACCACCGCCGGTGTCACCATCCAGGCGCCGCAGCTCGACATCAACACGGTGGCGGCCGGCGGCGGCTCCCGGCTCTTCTTCAGGTGGGTGCCAGCCCCAGCACCCATGAGCGCCGTGGACGTGGCCATGGACGAGCCTGGTTTGGTGGAGCTGCCTCCTTGTGTCTCCTCTTCAGGTCTGGGCTCTACGTGGTTGGCCCTGAGTCAGCCGGTGCCCACCCCGGCCCCGCGTGTTACCGCAAGGGTGAGCGCCGTGGACACGTGGGGATGGGAATCGGCTGGGCAGGGGAAAGGATGAGGATGGGATTGGGAGGGGATGCGGCCAGTGCTGTGCTCGCCACCCATCACCATTGTGGTTTAGGGGGTCCATTGACCACCATCAACGCTTAGAGGGACCATTGACCATCCCCATCATGTCCGTTGACCATCACCGTCATGGTTTAGGGTATCCACTGACTACCACCATCATGGTTTAGGGGGTCCTTTGACCATCTCCATCACAGTTTAGGGTATCCACTGACTACCACCATCATGGTTTAGGGGGTCCATTGACCATCCCCATCACAGTTTAGGGTATCCACTGACTACCACCATCATGGTTTAGGGGGTCCTTTGACCATCTCCATCACAGTTTAGGGTATCCACTGACTACCACCATCATGGTTTAGGGGGTCCATTGACCATCCCCATCACGGTTTAGGGTATCCACTGACTACCACCATCATGGTTTAGGGGGTCCTTTGACCATCTCCATCACAGTTTAGGGTATCCACTGACTACCACCATCATGGTTTAGGGGGTCCATTGACCATCCCCATCACAGTTTAGGGTATCCACTGACTACCACCGTCATGGTTTAGGGGGTCCATTGACCATCCCCATCATGGTTTAGGGTATCCGCTGACTACCACCATCATGGTTTAGGGGGTCCATTGACCATCCCCATCACAGTTTAGGGTATCCACTGACTACCACCATCATGGTTTAGGGGGTCCATTGACCATCCCCATCACAGTTTAGGGTATCCACCGACTACCACCATCATGGTTTAGGGTTTCCATTGACCATCCCCATCACAGTTTAGGGTATCCGCTGACTACCACCATCATGGTTTAGGGGGTCCATTGACCATCCCCATCACGGTTTAGGGTATCCACTGACTACCACCATCATGGTTTAGGGTATCCACTGACTACCACCATCATGGTTTAGGGGGTCCATTGACCATCCCCATCATGGTTTAGGGTATCCACTGACTACCACCATCATGGTTTAGGGTTTCCATTGACCATCCCCATCACGGTTTAGGGTATCCACTGACTACCACCATCATGGTTTAGGGTATCCACTGACTACCACCATCATGGTTTAGGGGGTCCATTGACCATCCCCATCACGGTTTAGGGTATCCACTGACTACCACCATCATGGTTTAGGGGGTCCATTGACCATCCCCATCATGGTTTAGGGTATCCGCTGACTACCACCATCATGGTTTAGGGGGTCCATTGACCATCCCCATCACGGTTTAGGGTATCCGCTGACTACCACCATCATGGTTTAGGGGGTCCATTGACCATCCCCATCATGGTTTAGGGTATCCACCGACTACCACCATCATGGTTTAGGGTTTCCATTGACCATCCCCATCACGGTTTAGGGTATCCACTGACTGCCACCATCATGGTTTAGGGGGTCCATTGACCATCACTGATGCCAACCTCTGCCTCGGCCGCCTCCTTCCTGAGTACTTCCCACGGATCTTTGGCCCCGGCGAGGACCAGCCCCTGTGCCGGGACACGGTGGCACAGGCGTTCCAAGCCATGGCCGCCGACATCGCCGCCTTCACCGCCAGCACCGCCGGTGACACCAGCACCAGCGCCACCAGTGCCCCCGCCACCCCCAGTGCCCCACAGCCCCTGTCAGTGGAGGAGGTGGCCATGGGCTTCGTGCGTGTGGCCAATGAAGCCATGTGCCGGCCCATCCGCGCCCTCACGCAGGTTGGTGGCCATGGGGGGTGTTGGGGGTTCCCGGCGTTCCCGGTGTCACCATGGGCTCTGTGTCCCTCCCAGGCCCGAGGCCATGACACTGCCCGGCACGTGCTGGCGTGTTTCGGGGGCGCCGGGGGGCAGCACGCGTGTGCCATTGCCCGCGCCCTTGGCATGAGCCGTGTCTTCATCCACAGGTACCCCCTGGGGGGGTGGAGAACCCCCACTGGGTGACACGGGGTGGGGGGGGGATGTCCCCGGTCCCCAGGTGGCTGGGTGGGATTGGAGGGTCCTGGTGCCCCATGGAGATGGGTTGGGCTGTTCTGGTTCCACATGGAGAAGGGGTGGGGGGTCCCTATGGAGATGGGGTTGGGGGGCTCCTGGATCCCTATGGAGATGGGGTTTGTGGGGTCCTGGTTTCCCAAGGTGGAGACCATTGCTCTGTTTTGGGGTCCCCATGTCCTGTGTCCCCATGCCCAGGCACAGTGGGGTGCTCTGGCTGGTTTTGGGGTGCTATTTCCCATATCCCCATGTCCCCGTCCCATGTCCCCATGCAGGCACAGTAAGGTGGCCATGGCTGCTTTTGGGGTGCCCATGGCCATGTTTTGGGGTTCCATGTCCCCATGCAGGCACAACAGGGTTCTATGGCTGTTTTGGGGTCCCATGTCCCCCTGTCCTCCAGGCACAATGGGCTGCTCTGGCTCTGTTTTGGGGTCTCTGTTTTGTGGTGCCCCCCAGGCACAGCGGGGTGCTCTGGACGGGTTTGGGATGCTGTGGGTGGCTTTGGGGTGCCATATCCCATGTCCCCCAGGCACAGCGGGCTGCTGTCGGCCGTGGGGCTGGCGCTGGCGGATGTGGTGCACGAGGCACAGGCTCCCTGTGCCCTTCCCTACGCTCCCGACTCCTTCCCACACCTGGACCGGCGCATCCAGGAGCTGGAGCAGGAATGCCGGGATGTGCTGCAGGAGCAGGGCTTCAGCCTGTGAGCATGGGCACTGGGCACAGGGGGACAGCATGGGGATATGGAGATAAAGGGATGGGGATGGGATGGATGGAGTTTGGGATCGGTGGAGATGGATGAAGATGGACCTGGGAATGGGAGCATGGCATGGGGATGAGATGGAGATGGGGTGGGACATGATGAGGATAGGGGGATGAGATAGGTATATGGGGATGAGATAGGGATATGGGGATGGAGATGGGATGGGAATGGCTGGAGCCAGGGATGGGATGGAGGAGGGGACGAGGCTGAGTTCATGGGGAAGGGATCAGATGGGGATAGAGATGGGAATTGAACAGGATGGAGATGGGTTAGATGGGAACGTGGGGGTGGAGATGGGATTGAGGTGAATGGAGATGGGATGGGGATGGAGATGGACATAGGGATGGGATAGGGATGGAATGGGAATGCGATGGGGCCATGGCAATGGTGGCAGGGGGACGGGGCCGGGGCCGGGGGTGACGAGCGGTGCCGGGGCTGTGCCGCAGGGAGCAGATCCGCACGGAATCCTTCCTACACCTGCGCTATGAAGGCACCGACTGCGCCCTCATGTGCTCGGCCAAGGGGCACCCGGCCACCGCCGGCTCCTGCCGCGCCGGGGACTTCCTCAGCGCCTTCACCAGCCGGTGCGGCCCGAGCGGGACCCAGCCCAGTGCCATGATCCCCATCCCAGTGCCGTGATCCCCAGCCCAGTGCCGTGATCCCCATCCCAGTGCCGTGATCCCCAGCCCAGTGCCGTGATCCCCACCCCAGTGCCGTGATCCCCAGCCCAGTGCCGTGATCCCCACCCCAGTGCCGTGATCCCCATCCCAGGGCCAAGATCCCCATCCCAGTGCCGTGATCCCCAGCCCAGTGCCAAGATCCCCATCCCAGTGCCGTGATCCCCATCCCAGTGCCGTGATCCCCATCCCAGTGCCGTGATCCCCATCCCAGGGCCGTGATCCCCACCCCAGTGCCTTGATCCCCATCCCAGTGCCAAGATCCCCATCCCAGTGCCGTGATCCCCAGCCCAGGGCCGTGATCCCCAGCCCAGGGCCGTGATCCCCAGCCCAGTGCCAAGATCCCCAGCCCAGTGCCGTGATCCCCAGCCCAGGGCCGTGATCCCCAGCCCAGTGCCGTGATCCCCACCCCAGTGCCGTGATCCCCAGCCCAGGGCCGTGATCCCCAGCCCAGTGCCAAGATCCCCAGCCCAGGGCCGTGATCCCCATCCCAGTGCCGTGATCCCCACCCCAGTGCCGTGATCCCCATCCCAGGGCCAAGATCCCCATCCCAGTGCCGTGATCCCCAGCCCAGTGCCAAGATCCCCATCCCAGTGCCGTGATCCCCATCCCAGTGCCGTGATCCCCATCCCAGGGCCGTGATCCCCACCCCAGTGCCTTGATCCCCATCCCAGTGCCAAGATCCTTGTCCCAGTGCCGTGATCCCCAGCCCAGGGCCGTGATCCCCAGCCCAGGGCCGTGATCCCCAGCCCAGTGCCAAGATCCCCAGCCCAGTGCCGTGATCCCCAGCCCAGGGCCGTGATCCCCAGCCCAGTGCCAAGATCCCCAGCCCAGTGCCGTGATCCCCAGCCCAGGGCCGTGATCCCCAGCCCAGTGCCGTGATCCCCATCCCAGTGCCGTGATCCCCATCCCAGTGCCAAGATCCCCAGCCCAGTGCCAAGATCCCCATCCCAGTGCCCTGATCCCCATCCCAGTGCCGTGATCCCCACCCCAGTGCCTTGATCCCCATCCCAGTGCCAAGATCCTTGTCCCAGTGCCGTGATCCCCGTCCCAGTGCCAAGATCCCCAGCCCAGTGCCGTGATCCCCAGCCCAGTGCCGTGATCCCCAGCCCAGTGCCGTGATCCCCAGCCCAGTGCCGTGATCCCCACCCCAGTGCCGTGATCCCCATCCCAGGGCCAAGATCCCCATCCCAGAGCCGTGATCCCCATCCCAGTGCCGTGATCCCCATCCCAGAGCTGTGATCCCCATCCCAGTGCCAAGATCCCCAGCCCAGTGCCAAGATCCCCAGCCCAGGGCCGTGATCCCCATCCCAGTGCCGTGATCCCCACCCCAGTGCCGTGATCCCCATCCCAGTGCCGTGATCCCCATCCCAGTGCCGTGATCCCCAGCCCAGTGCCAAGATCCCCATCCCAGTGCCGTGATCCCCATCCCAGTGCCGTGATCCCCATCCCAGTGCCGTGATCCCCATCCCAGTGCCGTGATCCCCAGCCCAGTGCCGTGATCCCCATCCCAGGGCCGTGATCCCCACCCCAGTGCCTTGATCCCCATCCCAGTGCCAAGATCCCCATCCCAGTGCCGTGATCCCCAGCCCAGGGCCGTGATCCCCAGCCCAGGGCCGTGATCCCCAGCCCAGTGCCAAGATCCCCAGCCCAGTGCCGTGATCCCCAGCCCAGGGCCGTGATCCCCAGCCCAGTGCCAAGATCCCCAGCCCAGTGCCGTGATCCCCAGCCCAGGGCCGTGATCCCCAGCCCAGTGCCAAGATCCCCACCCCAGTGCCGTGATCCCCATCCCAGTGCCGTGATCCCCATCCCAGTGCCAAGATCCCCAGCCCAGTGCCAAGATCCCCATCCCAGTGCCCTGATCCCCATCCCAGTGCCGTGATCCCCACCCCAGTGCCTTGATCCCCATCCCAGTGCCAAGATCCTTGTCCCAGTGCCGTGATCCCCGTCCCAGTGCCAAGATCCCCAGCCCAGTGCCGTGATCCCCAGCCCAGTGCCGTGATCCCCAGCCCAGTGCCAAGATCCCCATCCCAGTGCCGTGATCCCCAGCCCAGTGCCAAGATCCCCAGCCCAGGGCCGTGATCCCCATCCCAGTGCCGTGATCCCCACCCCAGTGCCGTGATCCCCATCCCAGGGCCAAGATCCCCATCCCAGTGCCGTGATCCCCAGCCCAGTGCCAAGATCCCCATCCCAGTGCCGTGATCCCCATCCCAGTGCCGTGATCCCCATCCCAGTGCCGTGATCCCCATCCCAGGGCCGTGATCCCCAGCCCAGTGCCGTGATCCCCATCCCAGGGCCGTGATCCCCACCCCAGTGCCTTGATCCCCATCCCAGTGCCAAGATCCCCATCCCAGTGCCGTGATCCCCAGCCCAGGGCCGTGATCCCCAGCCCAGGGCCGTGATCCCCAGCCCAGTGCCAAGATCCCCAGCCCAGTGCCGTGATCCCCAGCCCAGTGCCGTGATCCCCAGCCCAGTGCCAAGATCCCCAGCCCAGTGCCGTGATCCCCAGCCCAGGGCCGTGATCCCCAGCCCAGTGCCAAGATCCCCACCCCAGTGCCGTGATCCCCATCCCAGTGCCGTGATCCCCATCCCAGTGCCAAGATCCCCAGCCCAGTGCCAAGATCCCCATCCCAGTGCCCTGATCCCCATCCCAGTGCCGTGATCCCCACCCCAGTGCCTTGATCCCCATCCCAGTGCCAAGATCCTTGTCCCAGTGCCGTGATCCCCGTCCCAGTGCCAAGATCCCCAGCCCAGTGCCGTGATCCCCAGCCCAGTGCCGTGATCCCCAGCCCAGTGCCAAGATCCCCAGCCCAGTGCCGTGATCCCCATCCCAGTGCCCTGATCCCCATCCCAGTGCCGTGATCCCCATCCCAGTGCCCTGATCCCCATCCCAGGGCCAAGATCCCCAGCCCAGTGCCCTGATCCCCATCCCAGTGCCGTGATCCCCAGCCCAGTGCCGTGATCCCCATCCCAGTGCCGTGATCCCCATCCCAGTGCCCTGATCCCCATCCCAGAGCCAAGATCCCCATCCCAGAGCCGTGATCCCCACCCCAGTGCCCTGATCCCCATCCCAGAGCCAAGATCCCCATCCCAGAGCCGTGATCCCCACCCCAGTGCCGTGATCCCCATCCCAGTGCCGTGATCCCCACCCCAGTGCCAAGATCCCCATCCCAGTGCTGTGATCCCCATCCCAGTGCCGTGATCCCCATCCCAGTGCCGTGATCCCCATCCCAGGGCCGTGATCCCCAGCCCAGTGCCGTGATCCCCATCCCAGGGCCGTGATCCCCATCCCAGTGCCGTGATCCCCATCCCAGTGCCAAGATCCCCATCCCAGTGCCGTGATCCCCAGCCCAGTGCCGTGATCCCCAGCCCAGTGCCGTGATCCCCAGCCCAGGGCCGTGATCCCCATCCCAGTGCCGTGATCCCCACCCCAGTGCCTTGATCCCCATCCCAGTGCCAAGATCCTTGTCCCAGTGCCGTGATCCCCATCCCAGTGCCAAGATCCCCAGCCCAGTGCCGTGATCCCCAGCCCAGTGCCAAGATCCCCAGCCCAGTGCCGTGATCCCCATCCCAGTGCCCTGATCCCCATCCCAGTGCCGTGATCCCCATCCCAGTGCTGTGATCCCCATCCCAGGGCCGTGATCCCCATCCCAGAGCTGTGATCCCCAGCCGAGTGCCGTGATCCCCATCCCAGTGCCGTGATCCCCATCCCAGTGCCGTGATCCCCATCCCAGTGCCAAGATCCCCATCCCAGTGCCAAGATCCCCATCCCAGTGCCAAGATCCCCATCCCAGTGCCGTGATCCCCATCCCAGTGCCGTGATCCCCAGCCCAGTGCCAAGATCCCCATCCCAGTGCCAAGATCCCCATCCCAGTGCCCTGATCCCCATCCCAGTGCCGTGATCCCCATCCCAGTGCCGTGATCCCCATCCCAGTGCCGTGACCCCCACCCCAGAGCCGCGGTTCCCATCTCAAGTCCCAGTCCCTGATCCCGGCAGCCGATCCCGTTCCTCCCCGGGCCGGGGCCGGGGCCGGGGCCGGTCCCGTCCCAGCTGCGCCCCCCGCAGGTACCGGCTGGAGTTCGGGTTCACGATCCCGGACCGGGCCGTGCTCGTGGATGACGTCCGGGTGCGCGGCACCGGCTCCAGCGGCAGCAGCGCCCGGAGCCCCCTGAGCCCCAGCGGGGAACCCCCCCCCGTGGAGACGGTGGGGACGGGGGGAACGGGGGGGGGAACTGGGGCAGGGGGATGGGGGGGGGACGGGGGGGGCAGAGGGGTGGAGGGGACAAGGGGGGGCGAGGGGATGGAGGGGACAAGGGAGACCAAAGAGATTGGAGGGGAGAAGGGGGCAAGGGGGGAAACGGGGGACAGGAAGGACGGGGGGAAACGAGGGGGATGGGGGTGACCAGGGGGTGACCGGGGCAACAGGGGAGCCTGGGGGAAAGAGGAGGACTGGGGGGCACAGGGGGCGACAGGGAGGGAAGGGGGGAACAGAGGAGAACAGGGAGGGAAGGGGGGGGACAAAGAACAGGGGGACAAGGGAAAAGGATGGGGGGAATGGGGGAGGCCGTGGGGGATAGAGGGCTCCAGGAGGGTCGGGGGGACCCCGGGAGCCAGGGGTGTCCCAGTGGTGACGTGCTGGGGGGTCCCACAGGTGACGCGGTGCTACTTCGAGGAGGGGTACATGGACACCCCCGTGTTCCTGCTGCAGGCGCTGGCCTGTGACCACAGCATCCCCGGGCCAGCCATCATCATCGACAGCAACAGGTGGGGACCCCGGGGGGACAAAGGGGACCCCAGGGGACAGTGGGGACTGCGGGGGGACACAGCAGGACCGTGGGGGACAGCAGGATCGTGGGGGACAGCAGGATCATGGGGGACAGCAGGATCATGGGGGACAGCAGGATCATGGGGGGACAGCAGGATCGTGGGGGACAGCAGGACCGTGGGGGGACAGCAGGATCCTGGGGGGAGAGCAGGATCATGGGGGGACAGCAGGATCGTGGGGGACAGCAGGACCGTGGGGGACAGCAGGATCATGGGGGGACAGCAGGATCGTGGGGGACAGCAGGACCGTGGGGGGACAGCAGGATCGTGGGGGACAGCAGGATCATGGGGGGACAGCAGGATCATGGGGGACAGCAGGATCGTGGGGGGACAGCAGGACCGTGGGGGGACAGCAGGATCGTGGGGGACAGCAGGACCGTGGGGGGACAGCAGGATCATGGGGGGACAGCAGGATCGTGGGGGACAGCAGGACCGTGGGGGGACAGCAGGATCGTGGGGGGACAGCAGGATCGTGGGGGACAGCAGGATCGTGGGGGACAGCAGGATCATGGGGGGAGAGCAGGATCATGGGGGGACAGCAGGATCGTGGGGGACAGCAGGACCGTGGGGGACAGCAGGATCATGGGGGGACAGCAGGACCATGGGGGACAGCAGGATCGTGGGGGACAGCAGGATCATGGGGACAGCAGGATCGTGGGAGACAGCAGGATCGTGGGGGACAGCAGGATCATGGGGGACAGCAGGACTGTGGGGGACAGCAGGACTGTGGGGGGACAGCAGGATAGTGGGGACAGCAGGATCATGGGGGGACAGCAGGATCATGGGGGACAGCAGGATCATGGGGGACAGCAGGATCATGGGGGGACAGCAGGATCATGGGGACAGCAGCATCGTGGGGGACAGCAGGATCATGGGGACAGCAGGATCGTGGGGGACAGCAGGATCATGGGGGACAGCAGGATCGTGGGGGACAGCAGGATTGTTGGGGGACAGCAGGATCATGGGGGACAGCAGGATCGTGGGGGGACAGCAGGATCGTGGGGGACAGCAGGATCATGGGGGGACAGCAGGATTGTGGGGGGACAGCAGGATCATGGGGACAGCAGGATCGTGGGGGACAGCAGGATCATGGGGGACAGCAGGATCGTGGGGGGACAGCAGGATCATGGGGGACAGCAGGATCGTGGGGGACAGCAGGATCATGGGGACAGCAGGATCGTGGGGGGACAGCAGGATCATGGGGGACAGCAGGATCGTGGGGGGACAGCAGGATCCCCAAGGAGCTCATGGGAACCCCAGGGAGACACTGGGGACCCCGAGGGATGGTGGGACCCCGGGGGTAGTGGGGACCAAGGAGCTGGTGGGGACCTTCAGAAGCCAGAAGGACCCCAGGGGGCAGTGGGGACCCCAAGGAGCTGGTGGGAGCCCCGTGGGGATGGTGGAACCCCAAGGAGCCGTGGGGACAGCCATGGTGGAACCCTGGGGTCCTGGGGAGCTGCTGGGACCTCAGGAGAGCCCCAAGGAGGTGGTGGGGACCCGGGGCAGCCGCTGACCCTCAGCCTCCCGCAGCACCATCGTGGTGGAACCGGGCTGCACCGCCAGCATCACCCGCTTCGGTGACATCTCCATCGCCGTGGGGTCGGTGGCCCCACGCCCCATCGGCCCCCAGCTCGACCCCGTGCAGCTCTCCATCTTCTCCCACCGTTTCATGAGCATCGCAGGTGTGGGGCAGGGGCAGTGTGGGGCTGGGGGGGGGTTAGTGTGGGGCCGGCAGGGCTCCGTGGGGCTCTATGGGGCAGGAGCCGGCTCCCGAGGGTCCCGTGTCCCCCGCAGAGCAGATGGGCCGCATCCTGCAGCGCACGGCCATCTCCACCAACATCAAGGAGCGCCTGGACTTCTCCTGCGCGCTCTTCGGGCCGGATGGGGGGCTCGTGTCCAACGCGCCCCACATCCCCGTGCACCTCGGCGCCATGCAGGAGGCCGTCCAGTTCCAGGCAGGGGCTCCGGGACAGCAGGGAGATGGCAGGACCCCGGGGAGGCAATGGGGACCCTGGGGAGATGGTGGGGACACCAGGGAGCCAGGAGGACCCCAAAGAGCTTTGGAGTCCCTGGGGAGATGGCGGGACCCCAAAGAGCTGGTGGGACCCCAAGGAAGTGGTGGGACCCCAAAGAGCTGGTGGGACCCCAAAGAACTGGTGGGACCCCAAACAACTGGTGGGACCCCAAGGAGCTGGTGGGACCCCAAGGAAGTGGTGGGACCCCAAGGAACTGGTGGGACCCCAAGGAAGTGGTGGGACCCCAAGGAGCTGGTGGGACCCCAAAGAACTGGTGGGACCCCAAGGAGCTGGTGGGACCCCAAGGAAGTGGTGGGACCCCAAGGAACTGGTGGGACCCCAAGGAAGTGGTGGGACCCCAAGGAGCTGGTGGGACCCCAAGGAAGTGGTGGGACCCCAAGGAAGTGGTGGGACCCCAAGGAACTGGTGGGACCCCAAGGAGCTGGTGGGACCCCAAGGAAGTGGTGGGACCCCAGGCAGCTGATTGGGATCCCATGAAGCCAGAAGCACCCTGGGGAGCTGGAAATGTGGTGGGGATGGGGAGGACGTGATGGTGAGGACATGGTGGGGATGGCAGTGCCGTGCTGCTGGTGGAGACATGGTGGGGATGCTATGGGGATGGTGAGGACATGGTGGTGGTGCCGTGTTGCTGGTGGGGATGCTATGGGGATGCTATGGGGATGCTATGGGGATGGTGAGGACACGGTGGCAGTGCTGTATTGCTGGTGGGGATGCTATGGGGATGCTATGGGGATGGTGAGGACACGGTGGCAGTGCTGTATTGCTGGTGAGGATGCTATGGGGATGCTATGGGGATGCTATGGGGATGGTGAGGACACGGTGGCAGTGCTGTATTGCTGGTGGGGATGCTATGGGGATGCTATAGGGATGCTATGGGGATGGTGAGGACACGGTGGCAGTGCTGTATTGCTGGTGGGGATGCTATGGGGATGCTATGGGGATGGTGAGGACACGGTGGCAGTGCTGTATTGCTGGTGGGGATGCTATGGGGATGCTATGGGGATGCTATGGGGATGGTGAGGACACGGTGGTTGTGCCATGTTGCTGGTGGGGATGCTATGGGGATGCTATGGGGATGCTATGGGGATGGTGAGGACACGGTGGCAGTGCTGTATTGCTGGTGGGGATGCTATGGGGATGCTATGGGGATGCTATGGGGATGGTGAGGACACGGTGGCAGTGCTGTATTGCTGGTGGGGATGCTATGGGGATGCTATGGGGATGGTGAGGACACGGTGGCAGTGCCGTGCTGCTCCTGGGACACGCTGAGCCCTTGGAGGTGCCGCAACAGATCCGGAACCTGGGTGAGGACCTGCGGGACGGGGACGTGATCCTGAGCAACCACCCGTGTGCAGGGGGCAGCCACCTGCCCGACCTCACCGTCATCACCCCGGTGAGCAGGGTCCCCCCCCGGCGGCGCCAGGACCCCCCCGGGACCACCGCGCTCACCCCCGGCGCTGCCCCAGGTCTTCTGGCCGGGCATCCCCAGCCCCGTGTTCTTCGTGGCCAACCGCGGGCACCACGCGGACATCGGCGGCAGCACCCCCGGCTCGATGCCCCCCCACTCCAAGACGCTGCGGGAGGAAGGAGCCGTCTTCATCTCCTTCAAGCTGGTCAAGGACGGGGTGTTCCAGGAGGAGGGTGCGTCCGCGCCGGCGTCGTGGGGGGAGCAGTGGGCACTCGGTGGGGACGATGGACACGGGGATGTGGTGGGGATGTGGTGGGGATGGTTGGGATGTGGTGGGGATGTGGTGGGGATGGTTGGGATGTGGTGGGGATGGTTGGGATGTGGTGGGGATGTGGTGGGGATGGTTGGGATGTGGTGGGGATGTGGTGGGGATGGTGGGGATGTGGTGGGGGTGTGGTGGGGATGTGGTGGGGATGGTTGGGATGTGGTGGGGATGTGGTGGGGGTGGCTGGGATGTGGTGGGGATGTGGTGGGGGTGGTTGGGATGTGGTGGGGATGGTTGGGATGTGGTGGGGATGTGGTGGGGATGGTTGGGATGTGGTGGGGGTGTGGTGGGGATGTGGTGGGGATGGTGGGGATGTGGTGGGGATGTGGTGGGGGTGGCTGGGATGTGGTGGGGATGTGGTGGGGGTGGTTGGGATGTGGTGGGGATGGTTGGGATGTGGTGGGGATGTGGTGGGGATGTGGTGGGGATGGTGGGGATGTGGTGGGGATGGTTGGGATGTGGTGGGGATGGTTGGGATGTGGTGGGGATGGTTGGGATGTGGTGGGGATGTGGTGGGGGTGTGGTGGGGATGTGGTGGGGGTGTGGTGGGGATGTGGTGGGGATGTGGTGGGGGTGGCTGGGATGTGGTGGGGATGTGGTGGGGGTGGTTGGGATGTGGTGGGGATGGTTGGGATGTGGTGGGGATGTGGTGGGGGTGGTTGGGATGTGGTGGGGATGTGGTGGGGATGTGGTGGGGATGGTTGGGATGTGGTGGGGATGGTTGGGATGTGGTGGGGATGTGGTGGGGATGTGGTGGGGATGGTTGGGATGTGGTGGGGGTGGTTGGGATGTGGTGGGGATGGTTGGGATGTGGTGGGGATGGTTGGGATGTGGTGGGGATGTGGTGGGGATGGTTGGGATGTGGTGGGGATGTGGTGGGGATGTGGTGGGGATGGTTGGGATGTGGTGGGGATGGTTGGGATGTGGTGGGGATGTGGTGGGGATGTGGTGGGGATGGTTGGGATGTGGTGGGGGTGGTTGGGATGTGGTGGGGATGGTTGGGATGTGGTGGGGATGTGGTTGGGATGTGGTGGGGATGGTTGGGATGTGGTGGGGATGGTGGGGGTGGTGGGGATGTGGTGGGGATGGTTGGGATGTGGTGGGGATGGTTGGGATGTGGTGGGGATGTGGTGGGGGTGGTTGGGATGTGGTGGGGATGGTTGGGATGTGGTGGGGATGGTTGGGATGTGGTGGGGATGTGGTGGGTGTGGTTGGGATGTGGTGGGGATGGTTGGGATGTGGTGGGGGTGGTTGGGATGTGGTGGGGACGTGGTGCAAACAATAGTGACAGGGTGGGGACATGGTGGGGATGTGGGGAGGATGGTTGTGATGTGGTGGGGATGGTTGGGATGTGGTGGGGATGTGGTGGGGACAATGGAGACGTGGTGATGTAATGGGGACACAATGGGGATGGTGGGGACACGGTGGGGACAATGGGGACATGGTGAGGATGTGGTGAGGATGTAATGGGGACAATGGGGATGGTGGGGACACGGTGGGGACAATGGGGATGTAGAAGGATGAGAGGGATGTGGTGAGGTTGATGCGGACATGGTGGGGACGTGGTGGGGATACCGTAGGGATGGCGGGGACATGGGATGGAAGGGACATGGTAGGGATAATGGGGAAAGGACGGTGGGGACACGGTGAGGACATGATAGGGATGGCGGGGATGTGGTGGTGGCACGGTGGGGACACAGTGGGGATGGTGGGGATGGTGGGGACGGTGGGACAGCAGCAGTGCAGTGAGGGCGGTGGGGGCATGGTGGAGATGATGGGGACACGGTGGGGATGGTGGGGATGGTGGGGATGGTGGGACAGCGGCGGTGCAGTGAGGGCGGTGGGGGCATGGTGGAGATGACGGGGACACGGTGGGGATGGTGGGGATGGTGGGACAGCGGAGACGCAGTGAGGGCGGTGGGGACATGGTGGAGATGACGGGGACACGGTGAGGACGGTGGGGGTGCGGTGGGGACAGTGGGGGTGTGATGGGGTAGTTGGGACCCGGTGGTGACGCGCTAGGGCCGCGGTGGTGGATCGTGCCGCGGCGGTGCCGGCGGTGGGTGACGCGGCTCTGTCCCCGCAGCGGTGGCCGCGGCGCTGCACGCCCCGGGGCAGGTCCCGGGCTGCAGTGGGACACGGAACCTGCGTGACAACGTGTCGGACCTGCGCGCGCAGGTGGCCGCCAACCGCGCCGGCGCTGAGCTGGTGACGGCGCTGATCCGGCAGCACGGGCTCAGCACCGTGCAGGGCTACATGCGGCACGTCCAGGTGCGGCTGTGACACATGTCACATGACACACGTCACGTGTCACACACGTGTCACGTGTCCCTGATGCAGGAAACAGTGGAGTACTGCGTTTGGGACATGTCACATGTCACACGTCACATGACACACATCACATGTCACACACATGTTCCCCGCCAGGGCACAGCGGAGCGCTGCGTTCGGGAACGACACATGTCACATGTCACACGTCACACGTCACATGTCACACGTCACACGTCACATGTCGCACGTCATATGTCACACACATGTTCCCCGCCAGGACACAGCGGAGCGCTGTGTTTGGGACATGTCACACATCACATGTCACATGTCACACATCACATGACACATGTCACATGTGACACATGTGTGCCCCCAGGACACCGCGGAGCGCTGTGTTCGGGACATGTCACACATCACATGACACATATCACACATCACATGATACATGTCACATGTGACACACGTGTCCCCCAGGACACCGCGGAGTGCTGTGTTCGGGACATGTCACACATCACATGTCACACATCACATGACACATGTCACACATCACATGACACATGTCACATGTGACACACGTGTCCCCCAGGACACCGCGGAGCGCTGTGTTCGGGACATGTCACACATCACACGTCACACATCACATGTCACATGTCACATGTGACACATGTGTCCCCCAGGACACCGCGGAGCGCTGTGTTCGGGACATGACACATGTCACACATCACATGATACATGTCACACATCACATGATACATGTCACATGTGACACACGTGTCCCCCAGGACACCGCGGAGCGCTGTGTTCGGGACATGTTACACATCACGTGTCACACGTTACACATCACATGACACATGTCACATGTGACACACACGTGTCCCCCAGGACACCGCGGAGCGCTGTGTTCGGGACATGTCACACATCACATGTCACACGTTACACATCACATGACACATGTCACATGTGACACACGTGTCCCCCAGGACACCGCGGAGCGCTGTGTTCGGGACATGACACATGTCACACATCACATGTCACACGTCACATGTGACACACGTGTCCCCCAGGACACCGCGGAGCGCTGTGTTCGGGACATGTCACACATCACATGTCACACATCACATGACACATGTCACATGTGACACACGTGTCCCCCAGGACACTGCAGAGCGCTGTGTTCGGGACATGTCACACATCACATGTCACACATCACATGACACATGTCACATGTGACACACGTGTCCCCCAGGACACTGCAGAGCGCTGTGTTCGGGACATGTCACACATCACATGTCACACGTTACACATCACATGACACATGTGACACACGTGTCCCCCAGGACACCGCGGAGCGCTGTGTTCGGGACATGTCACACATCACATGTCACACATCACATGACACATGTCACATGTGACACACGTGTCCCCCAGGACACCGCGGAGCGCTGTGTTCGGGACATGCTCCGAGCCTTCTGGGCGCGCTGGGGCGCGGAGCTGGGGGCCGAGGACGGGCTGGATGATGGGAGCCGCCTGCGGCTGCGCGTGCGGCTGCAGCCCGAGGTGCGGGGGGGGGGGTTTGGGGTTCGGGGTTCAGGGTTCGGGGTGCCGGGGGGGGTGATTTGGGGTTCGGGGTGTGAGAGGGTCGTTTGGGGTTCGGGGTGCTGGGGGGTGGTTTGGGATTCGGGGTGCTGGGGGGGGTTTGGGGTTCGGGGTGCCGGGGGGGGTGATTTGGGGTTCGGGGTGTGGGAGGGTGGTTTGGGGTTCGGGGTGCCGGGGGGGGTGATTTGGGGTTCGGGGTGTGGGAGGGTGGTTTGGGGTTCGGGGTGCTGGGGGGTGGTTTGGGGTTCGGGGTGCTGGGGGGGGTGTGGGGTTCGGGGTGCTGGGGGGTGGTTTGGGATTCGGGGTGCTGGGGGGGTTTGGGGTTCGGGGTGCTGGGGGGGGTTTGGGGTTCAGGGTGCTGGGGGGGTTGGGGTTCGGGGTGCCGGGAGGGTGGTTTGGGGTTCAGGGTGCCGGGGGGGTGGTTTGGGGTTCGGGGTGCTGGGGGGTGTTTTGGGGTTCGGGGTGTGGGAGGGTCGTTTGGGGTTCGGGGTGCTGGGAGGGTGGTTTGGGGTTCAGGGTGCCGGGGGGGTGGTTTGGGGTTCGGGGTGCTGGGAGGGTGGTTTGGGGTTCGGGGTGCTGGGGGTGGTTTGGGATTCGGGGTGCTGGGGGGTGTTTTGGGGTTCGGGGTGTGGGAGGGTGGTTTGGGGTTCGGGGTGCTGGGGGGTGGTTTGGGGTTCGGGGTGCCGGGGGGGTGGTTTGGGGTTCGGGGTGCTGGGGGGGGTTTGGGGTTCGGGGTGCTGGGAGGGTGGTTTGGGGTTCAGGGTGCCGGGGGGGTGGTTTGGGGTTCGGGGTGCCGGGAGGGTGGTTTGGGATTCGGGGTGCCGGGGGGGTGGTTTGGGGTTCGGGGTGCTGGGAGGGTGGTTTGGGGTTCAGGGTGCCGGGGGGGTGGTTTGGGGTTCGGAGTGCTGGGGGGGGTTTGGGGTTCGGGGTGCTGGGAGGGTGGTTTGGGGTTGGGGTGCTGGGGGGGGTTTGGGGTTCGGGGTGCTGGGGGTGGTTTGGGGTTCGGGGTGCTGGGGGGTGATTTGGGGTTCGGGGTGCTGGGAGGATGGTTTGGGACGATGCAGAGGTGTTTGCATGGAGGGTTTGGGGCAGTTTATGGTGCTTTGGGGCAATGAGGGGGGTTTTGGGTGGTTTGGGGGGTTTTGGGGGTGTCTGAGGGTGTTTGGGGTTGTTTGGGAGTTTGGGGGTGTTTGGGATGGGTTTGGGGGGGTTTGGGGGGTTTGGGGGTGTCTGGGGGTGTTTGGGGGTGTCTGGGGGTGTTTGGGCTTTGGGGATGTTTGGGGGTGTTCGAGATGCGTTTGGGGTGTTTGGGGGTCTTTGGGGGTGTTTGGGGGTCTTTGGGGGTGTTTGGGGGGATTGGGGGTGTTTGGGATGGGTTTGGGGTGGTTGGGGTGTTGGTGGGTTTGGGGGGGGTTGGGGTGGTTGGGGGGGTTGGGGGGTTGCGTTGGGCCCTGTCCCCAGGGCAGGGCAATGTTCAATTTCTCAGGTTTTGGGGGTACTTTGGGGCTGTTTGTGGAGGTTTGGGTGCATCTGTGTGTGTTTTGGGGTGGTTTGGGTGCATCTGTGTGTGTTTGGGGGTGGTTTGGGTGCATCTGTGTGTGTTTTGGGTGCTTTGGGTGCATCTGTGTGTGTTTTGGTGCGCTTTGGGTGCATCCGTGTGTGTTTTGTGGAGGTTTGGGTGCATCTGTGTGTGTTTTGGGGTGGTTTGGGTGCATCTGTGTGTGTTTTGGGGTGCTTTGGGTGCATCTGTGTGTGTTTTGGAGTGGTTTGGGTGCATCTGTGTGTGTTTTGGGGTGCTTTGGGTGCATCTGTGTGTGTTTTGGGGTGCTTTGGGTGCATCTGTGTGTGTTTTGGGGTGGTTTGGGTGCATCTGTGTGTGTTTTGGTGTGGTTTGGGTGCATCTGTGTGTGTTTTGGAGTGCTTTGGGTGCATCTGTGTGTGTTTT